CACTTGAACGGCAGGACATCTCTTCTTTGTTTTATTTTGGTGCGTAAATAAATAATTTGGGAATCACAGCACGGGTTAATCTGCTGCGTCAGTAATGGTAATTTAATTGTGACTTAATACATTTCAGTCTGTAAATACAAATATAACATGTTAATGGCGAAGAGCATTTCCTGCACAATTCCACAGGGACAACATACATATAAATACAGCTTAATAACTGCATTGAGTGATTGGCTGAATAAAACCAATGTGTCTCGAGCCTAAATCTTCTTCATGGGGTCTATTTTACCATCAGATTTACATTTATATACATGATTTTGTACCACATTCATGCTGTGTATCTTTGATAAACCCCGCTTCTAAATCTGTATATCTGTATTTATATTATATAACTCCGCCTCTGTCCTGGCTTACAGTACATGTTGTCCTCATCAACTGTCCAGCTCTGAGGATTACTTTATTTGATGTTAACCTTTAAATTAATGCCAACTATTATTGATAATTGATGCCTCAGTTTGACTAGATTTTGAAGAAACAAAACACAGTATTCCAGCTTCTTTAACTTAAGAGTATTTTTACCGCTAAATGTCAGAAAGCTGATCATTCGTGACAAAGAGGATTGACATTAGGGCTGCTCGATTATGGCAAAAATCATAATCTCGATTATTTGGGTCAATAATTGATATCCCGATTATTAAAAACGATTATCCATTTACTTTGAAAACATCAATTTATTGGAAACAAAATGTGAACAGTATGTTTTTAACAGTTGATTACCTGAACTTTAAGTTTAACTCAACTGAAAAACCAATAAAAACTGATCGATGTTGTTTTCGTAATCGTTGCAAGCCAAAATCGTAATTGCGATTCAAATAGGATTAATTGAGCAGCCCTAGACGACGTCAGAGGATGTTTTCATGGGCTTTGGGAACAACTGGGTGTCGGGGTGTTTTCACCAATTAAAGGGCATTTTATAGAACAAACAACGGATCAATAAATCGAGAACTACCTACGGAATAATCAACAATAAAAATAATCATTAGTTGCTTAATTTGTTTTTTTTGGAGATAAGAAATACCATGTGAGAACCAAAACAAAGACGTATTGTAATCCTGGCTGTAACCTCCTAAACTTCCCTCTCTCTCTTTCACAGCGAGCTTCTTTCAGCGTCTCTCCTCCTGAGGGTCTCCCCCCCCCCCCGGGCCCCCGGCCAGACGCTCCTTTTCCTCACTGAGAGTAATGAATCACACATGCACGCAAATGCACACTTTTGCATTTACACACTCCCCTCTACTTAAGACAGTCAATCCCAGCTTTTACCCCCACCAGGTCGCCTCTGCGGTCCCTCGCTCGCCCTCTTTTTCATCCCCGCTTTCTCTCATAACGCGCTCCCTGCAGACACTCGAAAGCAAAGAGGAGCGGCTGCCAAACAGGCTGCATGCATACAAACACGTGCACACCTTTCACGTTTGTGCTCACATGACCCTGACTGGTCCACAAACACAACTTCACGCTGGTGTAGCTGCACACGTGCTGCACAAACTGTGTGTGAGGGCACTAACAATGATTTTCATTATTGGGGAGATTAAGTGATTAGCTGGTCGACGGAAAATAAATCAGCAATGATTTTTTGAATCAATTCATCAATGATTTCTGTAAATGTTCAAATAAAAATGCAAAACAATTCCTGCCCAAGGTGAGGATTTGCTGCGTTAGACTGTTGGTTAGTCTCATTGGGATATCAGGAATCACATCGGGCGTAATTCTCCATTTTCTGACATTTTTCTGAATAAAAGGTTGATCTATTTCTGAGGAAAATACATGGGAAATTAACTAGTTTTGATATTTATAGATATTCAAAAAATAAATAAATAATAACCTACATTTTAAAATCAAATAACAAATAATTTGTATTCAAACGTTTCTTTACTAGTGCTTACTTAAATGTTATATATTAAATACAATTAAAACATAATTTTATCTAATATAAAAAGTAATATACGTTTCAAATAAAGCAGAAAAAGTTGCTGTCACAGGGAGACAATCTGCAACTAATGCCACCAAACTTTTAATATAAATTACACAAAGCTTTTTCACACACACACACACACACACACACACACACACACACACACACACACACACACACACACACACACACACACACACACACACACACACACACACACACACACACACACACACACACACACACACACACACACACACACACACACACACACACACACACACACACACACACACACACACACACACACACACCACACACACACACACACACACACACACACACACACACACACACACCACACACACACACACACACACACACACACACACACACACACACACACACACACACATCCCTGTGGCCGCCTGTCAGTCAGCTGATTAGTGAGTTGACCCGCGGGTCAGCGTGGATCTGGCTCTGATGACGGCTGACTGGCAGCAGGAACTAACTACCTTCCTCCTCCTCCTCTTCCTCCTCCTCCTCTTCCTCCTTTCTTCTCTCCTCTCTCTTCAGCCAGATGTCTTGTATCAGGAAGCGGCTCTTCTCATTTCTAAAGCCACGTCTTACTCCTTCATCAGCTCTTCTGGACAGATAACCATCCTCCCGTTTTCTCCTCAAGGCAGCTCCCGTTCCCCCTCGTCCTCCTCCTCCTCCTCCTCCTCCTCCTCTTCCTCTTCCTTGTCCACCCTCCTCTTCCTCTAACCACAGCTCAGAGTTTAATGTTTTACATGTAAGCGATACGGGTGTGAGCCGTATTTGTTTGTGTTTATGTGAGAAGGGAGAACAATCAACGCAGTGTAACAGGATCCGAGTGGGCGGAGCTTGAAAATATCCCGAGTGCTGACCCCTGACCTCTCTGTGGGGCCGCGGGGGCGTGACCTTTTCATTATCACCCTCACCCTCACACACACACACACAGTCACATTAGGTGTGTTACCTGCTGCCGGTGAGGCCTCGGACTGAGCGATGAGAGCTGCCATGGCTGAGTTTGGATTCAGCCGGTTACCGAACATGTGGGAGGGGGCGAGGTTAAAGACGGAGCCGCTCACCTGGAGACAGAGACACAGAAAATAAGAGACAAAAAGACTGGTTTCACTGGGATTGATTCAAACTGCTGTTATGAGTTATTTAGAAGAAAACTTAAATTTGCCATTTTCTCTTTTATTGTATAGCTGATAGTTTAGAGACAGAAGAAAGGAAACAAGGAGGTGTAAAAAAAGTCCCACATAATGCGTGTTATCTGCATGACTAGCAGGAAGGAGTTAAAAAAGAAACATCCAGCAATGCCTGAAGTGTTAAAACAGCTCCTATTAAATAGTAGAAAAATAAGTATGAATACAAATAAAAAACATTTAATATAATATCAGGGCTACAATTTAAGTTATTTTTTTAAAGACTCATTATTATGAATAAATGGAACTATTAATTAAAGTTAAGTGTATAAAATATCACAACATTAAAACATGTCAATTTAAATGTTCCAGATTTTGCAAACAATTCTAATAATTTAATTGATAATGATACAAAACATAAACAAATATTGGCTGAAACTTTAAAGTGTTTTTGTTTCTTTGGTGTGTATTCTACAGTGCATTTAGCTATGAGTGAGATGAGTGGCTTTCTATTACATTTTTTGGGAGTTGTTCTGTAAATTTAATTAGCCTAAATCAAAATCTGAAAATCAATCTAATCAGCATTTAAATTCCCCACTATTGATTACACATTTTCAGAAAGTATCTACATCCTATTTAATGCCAATGAAGCTTTTTAAATTAATACAAATTCCAATGTGGATTCGACAACTTTCATATCATTACATGTAGATAAAAACATGGACACGTTATGGATGCACGGCTCATTACACACACACACACACACACACACACAACAACACACACACCAACACACACACACACACACACACACACACCACACACACACACACACACACATCACACACACACACACACACACACACACACACACACACACACACACACACACACACACACACACACACAACACACACACACATCCACACACACACACACACACACACACACACACACACACACACACACACACACACACACACACACACACACACACACACACACACACACACACACACACACACACACACACACACACACACACACACACACACACACACACACACACACACACACACAGTTTATGATGCATGGAGTTTAATCCAATTAAGGCATTTCCCAAATAAGGACCGTGCACTGAGGGGTGGGGTGATGAGACGTTAGAGGGTGGAGCATCGGGGGAATCAGGTCTGTCTAAAAAGAACAAAATGGCTGACTGCTGGTGTTTAAACGCTCCAGCCAAACACACACCAGAAACATAATTTCTGTCATTTCTAGTGAAGCTGAAAGAATTACATAATTCTTCTTAAGTCGCTGAAGAAATAGGTTATTTTTTGGTTATCAAACAAAATGTAATCATCAAATTGCTGATAAATTAAATATCAATAATAAAAAACTTTTTATAGTTTGACAAAAAATATTGTTAAACAAATAACTTTTTTATATGAGCAGAAAAACTAAATGAAAATCCTGTATTTATTAAGCCTTTCGTTAAATATTTCGCTTCTAAAGTCATTCCTATACCCTTTTTTTTTGGGTGCACCCTGGGAAAGAATAACGTCATTATCTCTTATTACAAATTGATGGACCTGGTGTCTCTAAAATAACAGAAAATGGGAAAACTTCCTGGAAACTCACATCACTGTTTAGTGTTAAACTCAAACACAGAACCTGTACCCTCCGTGCATTTCTCCCCCCTCACTGAAATGACTTCAGATTTCTCTCCTCCTCCCCTCGCTGCCATAACCCAGCCCCCTTTCCCATCAACATTCATTTTTCATTGTCATTCATTTTTCATTCGCACTCCCCTTCTCTGTCCTGGGCTGATGGCCAATAACAGTAGGCCGAGAGTCTGCTAGAGGACTGAAAATAGCAAATGGTCCCTGTCACTCACACACACACTTGCACACACACATTGAAGGAAGCCTGTTGTTGGCGTCCTTCTACAGTTGCGTAATTTCTACAGACTTGATTTGGAGAGAGTGTGTCTCAGATGTCCAGAGATGCGCATCACACTTTACAAACACACGTTCTTTTAAACAATCTGGAGTGACAGTGAACACACACACACACACACACACACACACACACACACACACACACACACACACACACACACACACACACACACACACACACACACACACACACACACACACACACACACACACACACACACACACACACACACACACACACACACACACACACACACACACACACACACACACACACACACACACACACACACACACACACACACACAATCCTGTGCTTCCCGTCCTCTATAATATGTGCTGAACAGAGAGGAGCGGGGCACGATGAAGACCAGGCCATACCCCCCCCACACACACACACACTTGCCCCGATCCCTCCCTCCCTCCACCTACCCCTCCATCCCCACTGTGGTGCTTGTCAGATGTCATTACATCACAGGACAACAGAGGGTGAAAAAGATAAATGGATGGGGGCAGAGGGAAGGAAGGTCGAGGGTGACAGAAAGTGTGTGTGTGTGTGTGTGTGTGTGTGAGAGAGAAGAAGAAAGAGAGGTGGCAAGTGGACACGGGAGAAAAATGGAGTAGGGTGGACAGAGACAGAGCAGGGTCTTTGGAGAGGTTTTGAAAGGGTGGACTCTTGGGTCACCGATTGACGATTTAAAAAAAAAAATGTTTTGGGGGAGCTGACTGAGTTAGAGTCAATGCCCTAACAAACCAAAAACAATTATAAAAAGCCTAAAAATAGCAGCTTTAGGTCTGAACTATCTACAGAATTGAATTAGACTGGGATAAACCTGCTCAGCTGTTGCTTCAACATCTGAGGTCTAAATAGGAATATTTTGAAAATGTTCCTACAAATGTTACATCCATAAAAAACCCAAACACTTGAAATAAATAAATCTAAAATAGGAGGTATTTTTCTTAAAGTCTTGAACAAATTTCATAACTTTCCCAGCTTTTACCAGATGCTTTTTTCCAACATTAAATGGTATGAATTATAATAGCAAGTGAGTATTAAGATAGCACAGCAAATGTGTTTTTTCTCCTTTAAATGTCAAAAGTAATAGGTCCCTGTGTTCTGATTAGATTACTACACATTACTGTATAAATGAAGACTAATGTTGGACCTTCTACAGGTGCACTGTGTAAAACCACCCTTAGAAAACCTCGCTGAGAAAACACAACACACACACACACACACACACACACACACACACACACACACGTTATTAATATGCAGTGTATTAATAACAGCGCTGAGAGATTTAGTGAGGAGGACGTTTAATTAGTGTGCTTTGGTTTATTTTTGTTCCCACCGTTTATCTGCGAGAGATGTGGCTGAATTGGTGTGTGCGTGTGTGTGTGTGTGTGTGTGTGCATGTGTGTGTGTGAGAAAGAATGAAGGAATGAAAAAAGAAAGAACAGGGAACCTGCACATTTAAGTACTAATTTTATGACTTTAAAACCCTTTCAATAACATACAAAAATTACTGGGCAAAATACATTTGACACACTAGCCTGCAGCAAACTCTGTTATTTAGTTGTGTTGATTTGAATAACGGGAATATTCAGTGTAATATTTCCTTGCCTCGGCTCACAAATCGGAAGCTAGTTAAACGTTTTCTTATATGTAAAAATGTAGATTACAGACACACGTTGTTCTTCCACCTCCATCTAAGCTGAGTGTGCGCTCCCTATTTAACGTATGAAGAAATCGGTATTGGACGTAGTGGAAATGTCATTGTTATGGGTACATTTCGGTCAAATTAAACCGAAAAACTAGACACGATCATCCGTTCCTTATCCATATTTGATGCCACCCGTCCTACAATCTCAGATATTTGAAAAACATTTTAGAAAGGAACATTGAAACTAAATGTCAGACTTTTGAATGATTTGCTGGGAGCCCAAGGAATAAAAGAACGACAGAGAGACCTTTTCTGTACTTTCATGTATGTAAGAGTGTGAGGGTGTCATTGAGAGTTTTTTGCAGTGTGTGTGTGTGTGTTTGGACTCACGTGTGTGTTGGCGGTGCTGGTGAGCGGTGCGGTGGCAGTAAACGGAGACGGAGAGGACAGTGAAGGTGTGGGCTGCTGCTGCTGCTGAGACAACTCAGAGCCGCCGACAGAGGCAGCTCCAGACCCCGAGGTCGACCCGTCAGCACCGGAGAAAACACCTGTGGGGACACGAAAAACATTAAATAACAAGAATAAAAAAACTTCGTAGAGGCTTGACAGTGAGTTACAGTATGAAAAGCACGAGTGTACATATTAGAATGAGTGATACATGAGCTCTCTTAGGCCTTTTAGATCAGTTTAGTCCTTGTTTTGTACATAGTGGCTTGAGAGAGGTACATTTGTGGATTAAAATGTAGTGTAAAAGAAGTTACTGATCTAAAATGTACAGCCAATGTAATGCTAATGCTAAATGTAATGCATGATTTGATACATAGGGGTCAGATAATTTGGTTCTTTATGATTTTATAAAACGGCATTCATTATAATAAACTCAAACACACAGCTGACAACACAAATCATTAAGATTTCACAAACTCCGGAAAAAGGAGTTCAATAAATCTGCAAATTCTCATCTCGGTATGTTTTCTTTGTACAAATTCCAAAAACACATTTTATTCAGCTTATAATAAATGATTCTTATATAAAAAAAACAAGTTATAAATCACTAACAGAAACATATTGCTCCAGTTTCACACTCCCATACGCATGCTCCATTCTCTTATCTCTCTCCCTCCCTCCCCCTCACACACCCCTGTGCTCGCCCACTAACCAGGGATAAGCCCTGCCCCTGCCCCCCTTTGACCCCAGCAGAGGAGGGTATGTGTGTGTGTGTGACTGTGTGTGTGTGTGGGGGGGGACAGGGCCCCTCAGCCCCACAAAGGCCTGAATGGCTCAGGGCAGCACACATTCACCGGGGGAACAAGAGATCTTTGTGCCAGGAGGGGGGAGAGAGGGAGAGCAGCAGAGAGAGAGAGAGGGAGAGATATAGGAACACTGCGAGGGCCCTACATACTATTTATAACACTTTGTAATATGCACCAGAAAAATTGATACCCAAAGCAGGGCGGCCATGACTCAGGGGGCTCGAGCTGCTGCAACATCAGGAAGATCCTATGAGATATAGGACTGCTGCAAACACTGAGATACAACGGGAGGAAATATAGATCATCTGAATTCATATTTACTTTATTATGTACGTATGAGGTAGTTTAAAACCTCCAAAAGATGGAAGCAGTTTGAGCAATCACTGTCCATGTATGCTGGTTGTAATGCTCGATTAAAAATGTTTGAATTACATTTAATTAATATTTAGAATCTATTTTCCTGAATTAGACAAACACATTTTTTATTTCATTATTTATTTTTTTGGCAAGAAGTAAATTATAATTTAAGATCAAATGTAACACCAGTTTTATAAATAAATGTGTGTTGTAAATATTGTCTGAAATTCATATTATATCTAAGTTATTAATTCAATTAAATATCATCTTGCTCCAACACACGGGAAAAGCAGCTCCAGCTAAAAACCCTTTAACCCTTACATTAAATACAAAATAACTACAAACAAATTCAATTTAACCAGAAAAAATGTTATATTTGTTTTTTATAGTTGGAGGAACGTGTACCGTCTTGGACGCTGGTGAGAACATTTAGAAATATTACAAAGAGTGTTATCTTTACAAACTGATATTCCTTTAATAACTGCTTTTGATGGGAATTACAACTTCCCCTATAATGAAAACCATACCCCCACACACACACCTCTCACACACACACCTCTCACACACACGCCTGAGCTTGTAAAACTTCCACCCCGTGTGTGAGATCGATAACGTTAAGCCCCTGAAGCGCAGCCGCCTCCATCGACCTTCCTGTTCCTTCTCCCTTCCTGCTCACTACGTCTGTGAGCTTAAGGAATATCCACCTTGATTAGTTCAAGCCGGCTTTATCTCCATAGGAAATCTATGTCGTGTATTTAGGGAGGGTTAAGCTCAATCTAAAAACCAAGTGCATGGCGTCATACTCTGTTAATAAAGAGCTGTGTTTTCACTTGAACTCGCTCCTCGTTGTGTGTTGGAGGGGAACGTCCCGCCATGTGATGCTGAAGCTGGGGGGTCATGTGGATTTTTTCAGTTGTAAAAACTGCAGACAGTCATTTAAATCATGTTTAAAAATGGAATGTGGAGACAAACACTGAATACCATCCCGGCAACAGAGAGATTTATTATTCTGAGAATTTTCTACCACCAAAGATACACAGAAATGTATTCAAACATCGCAGCAACGTGTAGATGGAGCAGAGCAACACAGTCCATGCAAGGGTGTGTGTGTGTTTGTCGGCATGCATGTATTAACTGTATGTGGGATTGCCACAGCCTGATAAAGCCATATTGGTTGCGGAATTAACAGCAGATTCAGCGGACAGTCTCTGCAATATTTAAGTGTTTTTGTGTCAAATTGAGGCGTAATTCAAACTGCTGAATATGGTACACATATATTCTGTAGCATATATTTATTCAGCAGAGTTTAGGGAGGAGGATCACACACGATGCACATAAAAGAGCTGTCACTTTAAGTGTGTCTCCAATTGTTAGAGGTTTTCTGCTTAATGCGTGTTGTTTCTCTTCTTGTCTGGTGTTTAAAAGTCTTTGTTATTCTTAACATATTTTAAAGCTCCATCCACCACAGTGCTCAAAATAAATATACTTATTCCCGAAGTAAATCTAATTTGATTAAAAATAAACTGCCTTTTTTTATTCATTGTAAACATTAAAACAACTTTAAAGAACATTTGAAATTGTGAAGTAAAATGTTTTTTTAAATCAATTTGTAAATAAATTATCTTGTTTTTTGTTTTATTTAATGACTTCGTTTTTTGTACTTTGTTCCAAATAAAACTATTTTTTGCAGACTGTATACATTGAAACACGCCAACAAAAGATGCCTCAGTGTATCTCACATCACTTATTCTAATGCAGATTTGTACAGGTTTCATATTTTATCAACAGGCTTCATTTTGTATTTAAATGAAATCCTGTAATATTTCCTGGTTTTCACAACTTCCTCTCGCGTGCGTTTAGCAGTGACACCAAACCGCAGGTAATTATCATTTAACTGAAATGAGTAAAACAAACAAATATCTGTCCTTAAAATAAATAACCTAATAAAAACAACTATGCCATGTTTTTTGTGTGTCTTTTCTTATTGTTTCCACACACACACACACACACACACACACACACACACACACACACACTCTCTGGTCTGAATACATTCTCTCCTCCCCCACACACCAAACACGTCCGTCCCATCAGTGACCCCCCTGCCGTCAAACATTAACCTAACCAAAATCTAACCCCCCCCCAACACATATCTATCAGGCTAACTATCTATCCATCAGCACACAGGAAGGAGGGGGGGGGGGCGCCAAGATCCTCCCTATTACTGCCCTGCATTAACCCTGAGCTAAATATTTACAGTAGAAAGAAGACACACACACACACACACTCACACTCTTCAGTCAGCAGCTGTGGTCAGAATGAAGCCACCGCTGCACCAAAGACTGAGAAGCTCCAGCTAAATGTGCTACAGTCGTCAAGCTAAAGGCAAATGTAAAATATCATCAAAACACCTTTAAAAGTTTCCCTGCATATCAACTTGATACAGAAAACTTGTGCTTATACTTTTAGGATCAATACATTTGAAGGTTTGCAATCATTAAATCATGGAAAGAGTGTTATCTTTACAAACTGATATTCTGTGAGACAGACAAAGGTTAACGCTCCATTTCACGCAACATGTATCTTTCCGGTCAGAGAAAATGTGAGAATCGACCTCATGCATTTGAGTTATATTACATTTATGAAATAGCAAGCTTAAACATATGATGCTACTAAAACATAATTACATATCCCCATATCAGACAACTACTACAACACCAGTTTGCACTTCACAGTAAACGTGTTGTTGCACTTCTTCTTAGCAACCACATGGTTTTCATACTTTATGAAGAACTTCTACAGATGTGTGTATTTTAAAATATATTAATTGTGGCACTGAGTTGTTTGTATAACATATGTTATATGTTTTGAAGTTTAAGGAGAAACCTAATTCAACAATAATGACTAGGAAGAATGTAGTATAATAATAAAAAGACTGTTCATATCGAAAAAAGTAGTAATCAGCAAAAAATAAAATAAACAACTAACTCAGTAACAGACAAACATGAAGTCTGAGGAAAGAGCCTCTGTACAGAAATCTGTGATCGGAATCAGATCAGCTGACCCTATGAAGTGGTGATGGATTCTACTACCTTTACTTCTGCATTGTAAGCATGTGCTTCACACACACACACACACACACACACACACACACACACACACACACACACACACACACACACACACACACACACACACACACAACACACACACACACACACACACACACACACACCACACACACACACACACACACACACACACACACACACACACACACACACACACACACACACGATGTGCAGAAGGACCAGAGTGCAGGTCGGAGGGGAGACGGGGGGAGGCAGGAGAAACAAATGGAGGAGTCCTGGAGGAGATGGAGATGTGTGTGGGCTGCGGAGCCATTTCCATCAGCAGAGGGGAACTCCAAAGCATAAAGACAGTTGCCAAGCAACAGAACACGATGAAAGAAACATACAGACCACTTCCACGTGTGAGCACACACACACACACACACACACACACACACACACACACACACACACACACACACACACACACACACACACACACACACACACACACACACACACACACACACACACACACACACACACACACACACACACACACACACACACACACACACACACACACACACACACACACACACACACACACACACACACACACACACACACACACACACACACACACACACAGGTTGGTATTTGGCTCCACAGAACCAAAACTGCTACAAGGCCACACATGAGTCGACCTGTCACAATAATTACACGATCAACCTATCGTACAATACGAGAATTTTGCCGACTTCCATTTTGCCTGTTGCTTTCCCTGCATGTTTGTTAACAAAGTAACATTTTAGCCGACATTATGCAAGAATGAACAGCAGGGCTTTTCTACCACTAAAAGACGTGGGTGGTGTGCAGACATTGAGCCTTTTTGTTACAAGAGCCAGAGAACACATTTCATTCATTACTCTGGTTGTGATTTAATTTGGACCTTTTTTGTATTTAGGATATTTAATTAGTTTTTACATTCCAATTCTGGATGTGGAAAGGTCCGAATGTTCTTAAGGATTACAAGTTCTCAGCTCTTTAAGAGGGGATACTGGCATTAATATGCTATTATATTATCATTATAAATAGGTCTGTGGCTTAAAAGCCTTTAAATGACGGTAATATTGTTTATTGCTATTATTTTTAGGATGATATGGCGTCCAACAATAGTAGTTTTTTATTACAGGCCGACATGTGAGGCACTTCTCTTTTAACCATTTTGATGACACTATGGTGAACATGATGGGACAACTTCTTTATCTATCAGGACTTAATTGGTTTCCTCATTTGAGCTGGCAACAACAATTTATTTTGTTGTTATTTATTGTGGAGCAGCAGCTAAACTGTGAATATATTTTCCGGACACAGACAGATGGATCTGAGTGAGTATTTCTTTCACAAACTCTCCTCATCATTGTTTTGTGTTTTGTGTGAAGGTAAACTTGATAGGAAACAACTTCTATTTCGGACTTAATTGGTTTCATTCATTTTAGCTGGCAACAACAATTTAGTTTGTTGTTATTTATTGTTGAGATAAAGGAAACGGAAGATATTTTCCTGACAGATGGATCCGAGAGAGTATTTCTTTCACAAACTCTCCTCATGGTTTTGTTGTTGTGTATGTTGACGGTTCCTCCTCACCTGCTCCGGTGCTCGAGGAGCTGCTGTTGCTCTGCAGACCTCCGTTCCTGAGGAGTGACGGGGACTTCTGAATCCCAGCGCTGACCCCCATGACCCCCAGCCCCCTCTCTCCTCCTCCTCCTACCCCCAATCCCAACCCACTGCTGGAGACTAAGCCCGGGCGTCCTGAGAGTGCTGAGGAAGAGGAGGAGGACGGGGAGGCGGAGGAAGAGGAGGGGGTGGTGGTGGCCGTGGTGGCCGTGGTGGAGGAGGTGGGGAGGGAGAGGGAGGGAGCGGCCTCTGAAGGCTTCACCTCCGTCGTGAAGCATGGTCCAAATCTGTTTCTCCAGTTTCCCTTCTTCTTCTTCTTCAACCCGTCGTCACCTCCTCCTCCTCCTCCTCCTCCTCCTCCTGCTGCTCCTCCTCCTGCTCCTCCTCCCCCTCCTGAACTGGAGGGGGGGGGTCTCTTGTAGGCAGCGGAGCCACCGAGGCTTGGCGTCTCGCTGGATGTGAGACTGTGGGAATTCTCATACAGCTTCCCGCCCACTGAAACGATAAGAAAAGCAGAAGTGAATACCTTTAAGTGTAAAGCTCATAGTGCTTTATTTGGGGTTTGTGTGGACACTATCAGAATCAGAATACTTGTATTAGTCCCACAGAGAGGACATTTACATTGTTACAGCAGAATAGAGCCAAAGACAGCTTAAAGGTCACCTATCATGCTATTTCTAGGCAATAGCATAGGTCTCAGATATATACAAATATATATGAAGTGTTTTGCTCAAAATACCAAACACATCACCCAGTCTAGCCATGCCTCATATCCCTCTATTTCACAAGTGCTGATTTGGGGTATAATTTTTTTTTATACAAATAAAAAGGAGGGGTCTGAGCTCATGCGGGACCCTGCAGCTACTGTCTAAACTAAATGCTGCCGTGATGAAACGCCATATCATGGATTATCAAGGATTCTCTCTGAAACAGTTTGGAGCTCAAAGGCTTTCTCTCTTGCCGGTTATACCACAAGGTGAGTTCCTTTTTACTTCCTGCTTCTTCACACACATGCTCTCCAGTAGGGCTGAACGATATACCGTGTCATGGCGATAACCGCGGTATGCGCGGTATTCACACCACAGGGACGTGCGGTTTTATTCATTTAAAAAAAAAAAAAATGCTTACGCACTTTAGCACAGAATTCAGAATAAAGATACCCTTATTACTTATCGAAACTGCACATACAATATATCCGATTAAAGCTGAGACTCCACAGATTATTTAAGTATAGTATCTAAGCGATCCGATCTCGCGACAGGGGAAGCAAACACAGACATCACAACACGTACCTTTTACGGAGCTTTTACGGGAGATCGTCTCACCGTAGCTGTCAATCTGATCAAAAGACGTGTTCAATGGCATAAAACGAGAAAGAAAAAATGCGGCTGAATCGGTTGATCCATAGGTTGATAATGTATCTGTGGCTTTGAAGCAATTGTTTATAATCCATAATTCCATTTTTATGTAAAAATCGGAGCACAACAGTTAGCTGCTAATGGTAGCCACTTGGTATGCAGCTTCCGGTTTTGGCTACGCGTCACTCTCACTCCTTATTTGGTAATGTGTGTGTGTTAGACTGCGCTGGACTACCGCATAGCCAAGACCGGAAGCAGCAGCCACTCTGGTGGCTACCATTAGCAGCTAACTTTTGCTCTGCGATATTTACATAAAAATGGAATTATGGATTATAAATTAAATCATTTTTTTTTAATACAGAGACGTTAAAAACCTATGGATTAACCGATTCAGCCGCGTTTTTTCTTTCTCGTTTTAATGCCATTGAACACGTCTTTTGATCAGATTGACAGCTACGGTGAGACATCTCCCCTAGAAGCTACGTAAAGGTACGTGTTGTGATGTCTGTGTTTGCTTCCCCTGTCCGAGTTCAGATCACTCAGTGATGATACTATATACCTAAATAATCTGTGGAACCTCAGCTTTAATCGGATATCTTGTATGTGCAGCTACGATAAGTAATAAGGGTACTTTTATCTTGAGTTCTGTGCCAAAGTGCGTTAGCATTTTTCACTCAGGGGTCATTTAGATGCTTCTTATGAGACTTGTGTTTTGTTTTGGTAAAAATGGTTTGTATCGTCAGTTAGCTGAGATTATTTCCGTTAATCTGGTATAATACATTAATAGGTTCTTAAATATTACAATCCCCTGAGACACTGTCGTGAAAAAAAAAGTAAAGTACCCGCCGGGACTTTGGGGTTTAACAGGTTAAAAAAACCGCAATATATACCGCAGGGGGGGGAAAAAAATCGCGATGTCAGTTTTTTTCAATACTGTGCAGCCCTACTCTCCAGTACAGGTTAGCTCTGAGTGTTAGCGATGCTAATGTAAACACCGACCATATTACGTCCAAAACAGTCGGGCATTGTTTCTGATAGCAACGTTTCTGATTGGGCCGTGGGTCCACATTTCAGATATTACGTCATATCGGACGCAAATCTGGATCAGCTCCGTTGTTCCCCGTTTTTAGAGGAGGAAAAAGAGAGAGGGTTTTATTTCCTGACGCTGCGTGAGTTCCCTGACACACCGGGGACACATGTTGATGTATACAAGACATCAGAAAGCGCATTTTGCATGATAGGTCCCCTTTAATGTTAACTAAGAAGAGTGCATACAAAAATATTATAATAGCTCTGATAATGCTGCTACTCATACAATGTGTGTTTCTTATTGAATTGTTAGTCCACTCATCTTACTTGCCATTTATCTGCACAGTCCCTCTGCTGTAACACTGCAATACATTATTTCTGATCTGAACATCTGCTTTATTTGGGGTTTTTGTGGACACTTTATACAAATGCTGCTCCTCATACAATGTGTGTTGCTTTTATTTCTTTTAACAATTCTGTAATTAGAAGACAGTTGAGAACATTCCCTCAGTTACAGGGAGTAGTTAACATTTGCAATAAGGGAACAGTATACATTGAAACCCTCCCCTTCTCATTGTCCTTTAAAAAAAAAAATGTATCTTATACAAAGTGTCTTTCTTATGTAATTTGTTAGTCCACTCATTTTAGTTTTTTTAATGCACATATTTCATTCCATTCTATTTCAATGTAAATACGGCTTTATTTAATTTTTTACTATATGTTTTCTTATTTTTTTGTTATGTTATTATAGTGTTCTTAAAATAGTTTGCTATCTGTGTTTTTAAATGTTTGTTTTACTTGTATGTATGCAAGTCAAATTCCTCGTACGCGCCAACCTACCTGGTAATAAACCCGTTTCTGATTCAGATTATTTGCCATGGTGTCTGCACAGTCCCTCTGCTGTAACACTGCAATAAGTGATTTGTGATCTGATTCTGAACGTCTGGTACCTGCAGAGGCCGTGGTGGCGGACACCAAAGAGCCGAAAAGCGTCGCCGTTCCCTCTGAAGCTCCGCCCTCCGAGCTGGGCTTCACGAGGCAGCTGCTGAAGGACGGAGGGGAGGAGAAGGTGGTCCCGCCCCCAGGACGCAACGATGGATCTGAGAAACTCAAGAAGTCTGAGGAGGAAGGGGCAGAGGGGGTCTTACTGGCACTGGTCAACAGGAGGCCTGGATGAAAGAAAAACAATGACAGAAAGAAAAGATAAAGACACATGAGATGGAAACAGAGAGGAAACAGACGTCACAGCTGGGGGGGGGGGAACTTTTCATAGACTCTCCTTTCAATCATCATGAGAGAAGCAGAAACAAGATAACCAAAATAAGCATTTTATCTGCTCCCCCGCTTTCTATCTGCCCTCCCCACAGAGGAAGTGCCTCGAGAGCAGACACACACCGTCTCTCTTCTTGACACACACAAACAAACACACACACACCTTGACAAGCGCTTCAAGGTCCTGATAGTACAAAACACAGGAGCTCAGTGTGAGCTTTGCCTCCCTTCAGGTCCAGCAACCCCCCCCCCTCACATGTTCTTTATTTTTCTGTGTGTTTCTGCGTCTTTTTCCCAGACGGGGCCCCCGATTACCGGAGCCAGAGGCCAGTCGAGAAGAAACACTGTTATCAAGGCCACACACAAGAGTCTGCTGTCTGGCCAAAATCCAGCTAATGACACACACACACACACACACACACACACACACACACACACACACACACACACACACACACACACACACACACACACACACACACACACACACACACACACACACACACTACACACACACACACACACACACACACACACACACACACACACACACACACACACACACACACACACACACACACACACACACTACACACACACACACACCCCACACACACACACACACACACACACACACACACACACACACACACACACACACACACACACACACACACACACACACACACACACACACACACACACACACACACACACACACACACACACACACACTACACACACACACACACACACACACACACACACACACACCACACACAACACACACACACACAACACACACACACACACACACACACACACACACACACACACACACACACACACACACACACACACACACACACACACACACACACACACACACACACACACACACACACACACACACACACAAATCACTCTCTTATTTAGGATTTAATAACATTTCTGTAATTGCAATAGTGCTGCACTTGCTGTTTTTTAGGTGGATTTTGTCGCCCATTTCTCAGGGTTATTTCCCAGCTGTGGGAACATTAACATACGGCACCATTAATTCACCTTGGTGGAAAGGCCCCGTGGAGGCAGATGTGGAGGATGTTGCCATGGTGACCACGGCGGAGGGGAGGGGTTTCCCTGAGGAGGAGAGAGACTTGCGGCCCCCCCGCTGTCCCACAACGTGACCCGGGACGATGTTCTTCTTGTTCTTCGCCTCCGACGAAGCCGCCTTCCCAGCGTCCACCGCGGCCAGGCCGTCTTTGGAGCCGCCGGACAGCGCCGACGACACTTCCTGGAAGTTAGCGGTGGTGAAGCGGGCACTGCCGTCGTCCAGGCGCTTCTGAGAGGACGTCGGGAGAGAGGGGACGCCCCCCACTGAGCTGCCACTGATAAAGGTCTGGAGGAGGTGGTTTAAATGTTTAGTCAAAATGCATCATTATATTTAAGTTGGACGGACAAATGTGCTGGTATTCATTTGGTATTGAGTGAAGCTGCTGAATACATGGTACAGGGAGGAGAGGAATACAGAGAAATAGACCCGACTTGCACTATTTTATCTGTTTTATTGTGTTGCACTGTTGGAGGAGCCTGTGACCTAAGATTTTCATTATCATAACTACACTGTAGTTATGTAGAAATTACAATAAAGGCCTTGAATCTTGAATGTCTTGATCTATGCTTCGATCTGATTTATAATTGTAAGTAGGGCTGCAACAAACGACTAATTTGATAATCGATTAATGAAACCATTAATCGACTATTCGGACTATTATACCTTGCACAATTTCCCAAACGCTCTTATTTAGCTATCAACTTTTAGATTTAGCTTGAGGTTGTTTTAGGCATGTGGAAACTAACAATGAAGACAATAAAGATGAATACTTGATTCAAAAATACATATATTATTACATTAACTAAACACACTTTGAACAAAATTAACATTGCTTTATATTTATAATAATATTTCACATCAAAAGAAACAACAATATTTTAACAAATCGTATTAAATAATGTGATAACATAACTAAACAGAATAGCTGAAACTTTAACTAAATAAATAACTCAGTTTCCTCTAATCATTAACCCATGTTTGTATAATTGTGTTAACTCCGTGTGTTGCTGCTAGCATACATAACACCTGACGTGGAAACGTTACTCGTGGATGGGGCTACAGAGCTACTAGAAAGACAGTGGAACCCGGTGCATTCCTCCGTCTGGATGTGGAGCACTTTTGCTAAATGTTTAGACACATTGCTCGTGTTACCGCCCTTACATGCTAAACTCTATTGGCAACGAGCATTGTCCTCAAGACGGGTAACATTTAACCACACCTTGGAGCACTTCTCTCCGCCATCCCCGCTGTGTGTTCATGTAGCAAACCGCCCCGCCCCCTCGCACACAGACGGGGGAGAGAGATCTCGTCTGGATTGGAAAGATCGAAAATACATCATAGACGCATTTTTGTTTGTCTTTTTGCATATTAGAAACGAGTTGGCGAAACTAAGACTGCGATATAATGTTTATGTAGCAATAACACATATGACATATCTTTTTTAAATGTCTCCAGTACCGATAAAAAGACCGATAACGTTGGAGCTTAACGGTGCGTAAAACACACGTGATGACGTCACCAACGAATCGACGACTGAATTAGTTGGCAACTAATTTGGTCATCGATTTTAATCGATTAAGTCGATTAGTTGTTGCACCCCTAATTGTAAGTGTGACAGGGATTATATAGTGTTTCAAAGAGTTCCCTATTTCTCATGTTCAGGTGTATCACCCACCTCCAATGTATGTAGTGTCTCCACTTTAAAGAGTCCTCTCCTGCTGATGTTCAGGTGTATATCAGTATGTAGTGTCTCTACTTTAAAGAGTCCTCTCCTGCTGATGTTCAGGTGTATATCAGTATGTAGTGTCTCTACTTTAAAGAGTCCTCTCCTGCTGATGTTCAGGTGTATATCAGTATGTAGTGTCTCCACTTTAAAGAGTCCTCTCCTGCTGATGTTCAGGTGTATATCAGTATGTAGTGTCTCTACTTTAAAAAGTCCTCTCCTGCTGATGTTCAGGTGTATATCAGTATGTAGTGTCTCTACTTTAAAGAGTCCTCTCCTGCTGATGTTCAGGTGTTTATCAGTATGTAGTGTCTCTACTTTAAAGAGTCCTCTCCTGCTGGTGTTCAGGTGTATATCAGTATGTAGTGTCTCTACTTTAAAGAGTCCTCTCCTGCTGATGTTCAGGTGTTTATCAGTATGTAGTGTCTCTACTTTAAAGAGTCCTCTCCTGCTGATGTCCAGGTGTATATCAGTATGTAGTGTCTCTACTTTAAAGAGTCCTCTCCTGCTGATGTTCAGGTGTATATCAGTATGCAGTGTCTCTACTTTAAAGAGTCCTCTCCTGCTGATGTTCAGGTGTATATCAGTATGTAGTGTCTCTACTTTAAAGAGTCCTCTCCTGCTGATGTTCAGGTGTATATCAGTATGTAGTGTCTCTACTTTAAAGAGTCCTCTCCTGCTGATGTTCAGGTGTATATAAGTATGTAGTGTCTCTACTTTAAAGAGTCCTCTCCTGCTGATGTTCAGGTGTATATCAGTATGTAGTGTCTCTACTTTAAAGAGTCCTCTCCTGCTGATGTTCAGGTGTATATCAGTATGTAGTGTCTCTACTTTAAAGAGTCCTCTCCTGCTGATGTTCAGGTGTATATCAGTATGCAGTGTCTCTACTTTAAAGAGTCCTCTCCTGCTGATGTTCAGGTGTATATCAGTATGTAGTGTCTCTACTTTAAAGAGTCCTCTCCTGCTGATGTTCAGGTGTATATCAGTATGTAGCGTCTCTACTTTAAAGAGTCCTCTCCTGCTGATGTTCAGGTGTATATCAGTATGTAGTGTCTCTACTTTAAACAGTCCTCTCCTGCTGATGTTCAGGTGTATATCAGTATGTAGTGTGTCTCTACTTTAAAGAGTCCTCTCCTGCTGATGTTCAGGTGTATATCAGTATGTAGTGTCTCTACTTTAAAGAGTCCTCTCCTGCTGATGTTCAGGTGTATATCAGTATGCAGTGTCTCTACTTTAAAGAGTCCTCTCCTGCTGATGTTCAGGTGTATATCAGTATGTAGTGTCTCTACTTTAAACAGTCCTCTCCTGCTGATGTCCAGGTGTATATCAGTATGTAGTGTCTCTACTTTAAAGAGTCCTCTCCTGCTGATGTTCAGGTGTATATCAGTATGTAGTGTCTCTACTTTAAAGAGTCCTCTCCTGCTGATGTTCAGGTGTATATCAGTATGTAGTGTCTCTACTTTAAAGAGTCCTCTCCAGCTGATGTTCAGGTGTATATCAGTATGTAGTGTCTCTACTTTAAAGAGTCCTCTCCTGCTGATGTTCAGGTGTATATCAGTATGTAGTGTCTCTACTTTAAAGAGTCCTCTCCAGCTGATGTTCAGGTGTATATCAGTATGGAGTGTCTCTACTTTAAAGAGTCCTCTCCAGCTGATGTTCAGGTGTATATCAGTATGTAGTGTCTCTACTTTAAAGAGTCCTCTCCTGCTGATGTTCAGGTGTATATCAGTATGTAGTGTCTCTACTTTAAAGAGTCCTCTCCAGCTGATGTTCAGGTGTATATCAGTATGGAGTGTCTCTACTTTAAAGAGTCCTCTCCTGCTGATGTTCAGGTGTATATCAGTATGGAGTGTCTCTACTTTAAAGAGTCCTCTCCTGCTGATGTTCAGGTGTATATCAGTATGGAGTGTCTCTACTTTAAAGAGTCCTCTCCTGCTGATGTTCAGGTGTATATCAGTATGTAGTGTCTCTACTTTAAAAAGTCCTCTCCTGCTGATGTTCAGGTGTATATCAGTATGTAGTGTCTCTACTTTAAAGAGTCCTCTCCTGCTGATGTTCAGGTGTATATCAGTATGGAGTGTCTCTACTTTAAAGAGTCCTCTCCTGCTGATGTTCAGGTGTATATCAGTATGGAGTGTCTCTACTTTAAAGAGTCCTCTCCTGCTGATGTTCAGGTGAATATCAGTATGGAGTGTCTCTACATGTCTCCATGCTCTAATGTTCAAAAAGCTCTTTATTTTGTTCATACTGCCTGTGCTGCAGCACCTCTTTTCACCCTCTGTCTGAAACCAGAGCCCAGTCTGCTCTGATTGGTTAGCTTAGCCGGCTCCATTGTGATTCATCAACCGCAAAGAGATGTCCCGCCTCTTAGCCTATCACGTACAATGTGTTGGAGCGCCAATAGACTCTGAAGTGTTACATAGTGATGTCCAGGGACTGCAGATGGAAATAATCTAATAGCAAAAGCCATTACCTCTTTTTTTAATGTATTTGTATGCATGTTCTTGTTTAATAAAGACACTGAAGAAATGAAGGTTGAAAGAAAAGGGAGGAGAGGAAACATGAGAAGCACCGGAACAAGGAAAGAATAATAGGAAAAGAAGAGAGTGGGAGGACAGGGTAAGTGAGGGATAGGGAAAGAGGGCCATAAAAGGTAAATGAAGGTGAAGACACAAATGAACCTGGTTTAATATTTAACACAAAGGAGTACGGAAGAGCACCCTCACCTTTTCTGGGACCATGATATTAGGAAGGACGAGGGAGGGGGACATGTCCATGGAGATCTTCTTGTGTTTAGGTTTGTGCCTGTCCCGCTCCTTGTGTTTCTAAAGATAGAGACAAAGAGGAGAACCAGATGAGACTCAAGACTCAAGGAGGCGAGAAACACAGAGAAACAGACCCTTATTTTATAACCTGGAAAACACTGAATATGGAGACCACATCTGTGTTGTGCAGAAGAACGGACGTCAGAGATAACTAAAAGCTACGAGTTATTGGGATAAAGGAGGAATAATGTGTGTGTGTGTGTGTGTGTGTGTGTGTGTTAGAAAGAGAGAGCATTACATTTCAAAGGCTCAGTCTGAGATGAAAGCTAAGAGATCCGCAAACAAAGAGAGTGATGGGAGAGTGATAGAGAATGGAGGAAACGGGGTTTCAGCACGCTGCAGTTTAGAGCTGAGTGTGTCTAAGTGCCTCTCGCCGCGCACAAAGTCTCATCGTTTCATCCAATCATCTCCTCTTTCTTCGACCATCACAGCTCAATTTACACCCTCACTATCACACGGGCGCCGCCGCCGCCACCACCACCACCACCCTTCCTCTCGCACCCCTGAGGTGGCGACTGGGTGCCAGTGCATTTACACCTCACATGCGCACCCCGACACCTCTCTGCACAGGAATATAGTCACACACACACTTATACATGCACGCTACGGAATAATAGGTGGTGAAAATATGCAGCGATCCTGAGAGACATGCTTGTGCGTCAGTGTCATGACAACTCCAGGAAAAAGCCCCTCCCCCGTCGTCTGCACGCAGGGTTAATGCCTGGAGGCTGGTGACAGTTTAGCCAGACTTTCTTTTGTATGAGTGGCAGTTAACAGACTTTAGCAGCCAAATCAGGAGATAGCAGCTTCACCTCTCTGCACGCCGGCTTCCTGTCACGCTGAGGCTCTGGAGAGTTCTGTTCGAGTGGGCATAACTTTAAACTTTCCCCTTTTCTGTCTCCAGATATGAAGCTTTAATTAAAGCTGTTAAAATCTTTCTGCTGCCTGATAGTATGATATATATTCTGTGTTAGGGGTAAATATAGAATTTTGTCATGGATTAAAAAAAACATACAATAAATTGAGGGGAATTTCAACTGTTTGGATGATTCAAAGTTGGTTCATGAGTTATTTGAAAAAGCTGTCTTTTTAAGTCATGTAAGTATTTTTGCTTTATCTATACCCTGAGTAAGGAACGTTTACGTAAGGGATAATGTGCAGCGACTTGGTCATTATGGGTACCCATAATGACCAAGTCGCTGCACATTATCCCGCTTATCACACGGCCACATTCTCAACAAAGTAACGACATGACTCCCAATATTAATTGAAATGTTTTTATAGATTTAGAAAATATTAGGCTATTATGTATTTCCACTAAGAAAAATAGTCCGTTGTTACTGTTTGAACTAACGGCAGGAACTGCTTCGATAGCGTTTTTGAGGAACTTTTTGATTACAGATTTGAAAACATCGTTGCTTGCTTTAAAAGTAGCACACTTCATGATGTCAAACCTTGGAAAGTATCTAGATATCCCTGCCCTGATGCCAAAGGAACTGGCAACTGAATATGTGTCGCCGTTTGACGTCTATGTCTGGACCGCTGCGTAAAAAGGAGGGTTTCTGCCCGTTACTTCTCCGCTGTCCCAGTTTGAAAAGCAAACTGCATGCAGGTTGCTTTTCAGCCCAACTGTATACAGTTCAATCGACCGGACTTCTTTGTGCAGATGTGAGCGTCCTTAACAGCGGTCTGTCTGTTCTGGATTAACAACGTGTCACGTGTTCTGAATTGACCAATCAGAATCAAGTATTCAACTAAGCCATGTAATAATTTGTAATATGTCTTGCTTTTTGGTCATTTGATTTTTAAGGAGCGTTGCAACTGGATTTAGCTTCTTTTATTTCTATTTTCTGAAGTTGTGCATTGCTATGAGCAGAACTAGTCATTCTAAGAGGCCCGAAACTAACAAATGCTTTCCTTTTTTGCACAATAAATTAGTTACACGATTATCAAATTTGTCGTTTAATTTCTTCTGGGGCTGCCTCCAAAACTTTTGGCACTACTTTAAACAACAGTGCCTACCATGCAAATGAGCTTGAGACAGCGGGTAACCAGGAGAGACGTGTGCAAAATGAGCCGGTTAACTTAAACAGCAACGAATAGGAGAGATGATACCGGAGAAAGAAAAGGAGAGTGCGAGAGGTAAAGTCTTTGGGATTCCCTTGTTGTTTTTCATTAACATTCCTGAGGAAGGTGTTGATGGACAGAGGTTGAGCACGGAGGGTCGGATAACACACACACACACACATAGAGAAGGACCCAAAGCACCGGGCGTGGGAAACATAACACACACACAATGTAACCCTGACACACCCTTATCAATCAGGTCAATTGATTATACAGGCGGAGACAAAGCCTTTCAGCGTGTCCTCTCCCCTCTTTCTCTGCGAGTGACCGTTAGCAGCCCCATCATTTGACATGTCCGAGGGCTCTTTCAGACTGCGTGGGGTAAATATGAGTGGTGGCACAGAACGAGGGCCACGTCTATTTATCAAGAAACTACCGAGCAATGAGAATTAAAACGGCGGGCTGGTATCCTCTCCGTCTCTGTC